GGACGGTGCTACAGGCCGCAAATCAGTGCACTTACAACTACAATAAGCATGTTAATGTTAATCTAACAGCTCCGGCGATCCACTAGCACCCCCCTCCCCCCCCCAATTTTGCATTTTGAAATGCTCCCGATTTCTGAGGTCTAAAGGTTGGCAAGTATGCCGGGGAGTCCGCTTTGGATAAAAGCGTCTAACAAGTAACATGTAATGTAAAGTAATCAAAAGGTGTTAAATAAATGTGGCAAAGTAAAAATAACAGTATTTAGAGTAGCATGAAAAGAAAATACTCAATTAAAGTACTTTAAATACCCTAAATGTACACTTAAGTACAATTCCTGAGTACATATACTCAGTGACATTGCACCATGTTATATTTATTTATGTTAACTTTGAATAACATACCGTATAATGTTTATGGAGCCGCCTCAGTTAATGTCAGCAGGAAATGTGTTGAAACGTGGCTGGAGAAGCCAAAACTCACATACGTTTTACAATGTTTTTTTTAATTCTTTGAACAGGAATTCTAAAGTGAATCTCTTTCCAGCTGCTCTTCTCTCAGTTCCCACTAATCTGCTTTTCCTCCTCACGTTTAGAAGCTCTTGTGCAACTCAGGTGTGTTTCAGGTCATAATCTTTACTGGGGAACAAAGGACAGCTCAGATTGTTAATCCTCTTTTAGTGGGTTTCTTTGTGCAAAACACTGAAGTGTAGATACTGAGTAATGTAGGTAGAAAAGTTAGCATTAATCAGTGTTGGAAGAAGTACTAAGATCCTTTAATTAAGTAAAAGTACAAATACTATGGCCTTAATTAAAATGCCCCACTACAAGGAAAAGTCCTCATTTCAAAGTAAAAGTACAGAAGTATCAGCTAAATGTTCTTCAAGTCTTAAAAGAACTCGATATGCAGAATGGATCTTTTAAGTGTTATATGATTATGGTTAATATGATCCTGTTGTAAGAGCAGTTTGTCAATTTGCAACATATATTATATATATATTAGATGCATTAAACACTGTGTAGATTAGTAGTACAGTACTTCACTATACCATATCAGCATATCATGTGTTATTATGTGTACAAAGTAACTGTGGGTGTTAAAATGTATGTAATGGAGTCAAATGTATGAAATTTAACTCTGAAATGTAATGCAGTAGACGTACAGAGTAGCATTAAATGGAAAGTAAAATACAAATATGTCAAACAAAGTACAATACTTGAGTAAATGTCCTTACAACACTGGCATTATTCCAGCATGCAAACACCTGTATTTGTACTTCTGTTGAGGTAATTGTGTATTTGTTCTCTGCCTACAATGGTGCACCTGTTGTGACGTATTAAAAATGTATGAACAACAACCATCCATAATTAATGAGTTACTGTACTGTTTCCAGTCAGACAGAAACACACCTGTTAACGTGTGTTCTTTAATAGAGCAAAACTTCCATGTTTTTTTCAATATTATAACACGTAAATGTTGCTTTGCTTATCGGCATACTTAGAAAAACATACGAGTATACCACCTTGTTGTTTTGAAGGTGCACATGTGTATCCTTAAAAGGTTGCATATAATGGAAATCCCAATGTGATTGTGCACACGGTTTGTAGCTTCATTAATGTGTTATATTGTGAGCCGAATTAAAGTATGCATCCTAATAATGAATTAAAACAGTTAATATTTTATCCACCTTGGCGAAAATAGACGATAATCACAAATTAGGCGATTTCTATACTGAAGTCTGGTGGCTTGCTTCACATAAAAGAAAGAACGGGACCTGATCATCACCAAAACACATCGTTAACAAAGCAGCTTCAGAACATGAGATTTCACTACAGTATATATAAGTTTAATACCAATATTTTCTGTGGGTTGTTGTCTTACCTCCAGGTAATCCTCCGGGTCGGTTCTGCTTCCCGACTATCGGCAGAAAAGTAGCCGCAGATCGCCGTTGTTCTCCGGCCAGCAGGATCACAGCAGACAGGTGGCCTCGGAGGATGATGAGGGTCAAGTTAACCAGAGTTACTAATAACGGTACCGGAAGTTCAATAGTTTGTGTCTAAAATACGAAGAGATTTGTATTTTCCTCTTTATAATAATAACTCAAAAATTATTTGAATACGTACATTTAAAACCCTACAATTCTATTCAGTCAGGATATTTTTTTATTACGATTCTTTCCTATTTTATTATTATGTTATATCTTAGTTATGTACAATTTAGTCTTTTGTTATTTTAAAACTTCATTCATTGTTGTAACAATTAATGTTATTGTTATTTCTTATAAAACTTGCTTTGCTGTATTTATGTTAAAACATTGTATTCAAATGTATTTTATAATTACTTAGTGATTTTATTTAAGTTGTAAGTCTTTACTATATCTATTTTGTATTACCTAAATGTGTTGTTTTTCTAGTAGTAAATTATATTGTATATTATTGTAATTGTATAACTTAATATAGTGTTTAAGTGCATTTAATTTAGAGTATTTTAGACAAATGTTTGTGTGTTTTGTTTATTACTTAATTATATTCAATTGTTATTTTATTAACCACTGACTTTATTGTATTTAAGTTGTAAGATTTTATCCTATTTTATTGTTGTTTATTAATCAACACATTTGTTGCGTTTACGTTGTTAATATAATACAAGTTTTATTTTGAAAATCAAAGCGGATATGAATGTAGGCCTATTGTAAACACCGTGCTGCTTTACATCATGTTCCTGTTGTTGCGCCTCTGGTCTGTATCACTATCAGCCACCTGATGCAACACACCGTGTTTAACACAGGTATTTTTATTTTATTTACAACTTATACACATTTGTATTATCTCATTATTATTATTATTATTATTATTATTATTATTACTACGACTACTTACTACTACTTTTACTCCACTACATGTATTTAATACCTTTAGTTACTTTTCAGATGTGGATGAATGATGTGAAATCTAATCAAGTGTTAAATCAGACTTTAGTTCCACCTGGAGTGAATCCACAAGCTACCCTTTAGTATACAAAGTAATTCAAACTAGCTGCACTTTTACCAGCTTTGAGAACACTTTCATGATCAATCATTATAAAACATATCATATATATTATTCTGAAATGGACCAATCTGCACAATGACTACTTTTACTGTCGCTATTTTCACTATATTTTGATGAGAATACTTTTCTACTTTTACTTGAGGAACATTTTGAATGCAGGGTTTTTACTGAAACAGAGTATTCCTACACTCTGGTACTTCTACTTTTACTCAAGTACAAGATCTGAGTACTTCTACTTTTACTCAAGTACAAGATCTGTGTGCTTCTACTTTTACTCAAGTACAAGACCTGAGTACTTCTACTTTTACCCAAGCACAAGACCTGAGTACTTCTACTTTTACTCAAGTACAAGA